AACATGGCGTATGCTTGATGGCCAAGCAGCAGCTGGGGGCACGCACTTTCTGCCAGATGGCCATGGCCATGGTCGGCAGGCATCCATGGTGTGGCTCTCGACGCGGTCTTCGCGTCCGTCGCGGCTTGTCACGATTTGCGCATTTGGCGTTTCGCCCGACGCGTAAATAAAGCACTTAAAATTTTTAATGAAGCTTGAAATCGAAAGTTTATATGTACTTAGTCCGCAGCCTAACTAGTGGGTGGGAGTCGAAAGCAAACGCCTGTCATCATCTTCTTCCTCTCCTGACTCCCCTACAATTTAAGGCGGTTTATTCTTTTTAACGCCAGCTACAATTTCAAAAGTTGTGTGTCACGTGTGCGTTGTAAAATTCTTGCGTGTTAGCAAAAAAAATTACAGAAATAAGTTGAATGCTGCCGAAGCAACGACACTTTTCTGTGAAAGAGGACCACGTAGAGAATGTGGGGTTTCTTTTTAACAAAAAATTTACCTAACACGCATGGGATGGAGGCAAAATGAGCAGAGATAGAATGAATGTGAGGCATGTGTTCGTTTGTAATTTTCAACATAATATGAAAACGGAAGCGACTCGGCAATTGCTCTGCGTTTCAGCTAGAAGGAAGTCAGTGAAACGAGATAGAAATATTCAAAGACCCAACAGTCGAGCCTCATATGCGGCATCAACTTGTTATTTATGTCCATGAAGCCGCCTTGACAGCCATCTTTCCGTTTGCATTTGTGTCTAACAACTTGAGAAGTGCGAACTGGCAGATTCACAAAAATATGTACTAGAAATACTAAGTCATTTGTGCTATTTTTATTAAATTAGACCTCAGTCAGGTGGTTGGAAATAGATGTGGATATATACTTAATAATTAAACATATTTGTAAATTAGTAAATTCTTGCAGGGATAACAAATTATTACAAATAAAAATACACCTCTTCTGCATATCAGATGTACCCAAGATTTTAATATTTAAATAATGTGCAAAAAGCTTACTTTATTAATAAACAGATAAGCCACATTTTTCATAGAAAACTTTTCAAGCATTTCTCCATGAAAGTATTGATAATTAGCAAAATTTTAAAAACTGATAATTTGTCTAAATTTAAAAAGTTAAAAAAGTTCCATTCCAGATATTACAGAAATACCCATAAAATATCGAAATAAAGAGTATATTCATATATGTTTAAAAAAGTAATTAACAATTATATTAATACATCTATTCAAAGGTAAAATAATTTTCGAATTACGCATATTTTAGAGTTAATCCTTACTCCATATATGTTGGCACGGAATTTTATGAGATTCAATAATTCCCATAATTAAATTGAAAATAAATAAATCAGAGTTTAAGAAGTTCATAGTATATTGTATATACTTATTACGCACTCAGAGGCATACATACTTGTATATATAATTGCATTTTAAGTGGCGTCTGCGTTTAATCATCCTTAAAACGTAATTTAATCACTATAAATCGTAAAGTTCGCAAGTCATTTTAACATTACCCTTCTTTATACCCAGTTCCACATCTCCAGATGCCTGTCAGCCGTTAAAATGGGTTGCATGTACTTGCATTTACTTTGTATTTAAAAGAGGGTCGACATTAATGGTTTAATGCATAAACAAACAAAACATTTCATGGCAAGATAATTTGTATACCCTTTCAGCGAAGACCCCCATCATAATAGTATATATTATAGAGACATGTCCGTCTGCTCGTTCCTCCATCTGTCTGTTCGACAGTACACACGTTTAAACCATAACCCTACGATCTTTCTTATCCACAAGCAAAAGTTCTTTAGCATCTGTGCAGTATATTAAAAATATATATGAATAGCTGTGATTGGTGAAAAACACTCTCAGAACTATAAACTGTTCGGTTATCAATCTTTTGTATCTATTGGCAAATAAGTGGACGGTATTAATCTGTTATACTCTGTATATATGTATGTACATTTGTATATAAAACGTCCTTGCTACAGGGATAAGAGAACCAATAAAAAAGCGACTGACTTCTTCACTTCACAAGAGAGAGAGAGTTCTGCACCGATTAGCGACCTTCACTAATTTAGAGTCATGGACGCAATTATTGGAAAATACCGTTATAAAGGCCGAGAAATGGAAATGGTTAAAAATATAATAAAATATACAATTTAGCCAAAGGACAAAAATAGACTATTTAGGTCGCATAACTTTGCAGAATGAACCTGTAGAGAGTATAAAACCTAACGTAACGAATTCAACTCGATTATTGATTCAATCGCCTGCCAAATCACCTCAAAACGGATACAAGCCCCCAACAATAAACAACAAATTTAGATATTTATCCAGCTTACTGTCATGTCCTGCAGCCATAGCGTTTTTGTCGTCATTACTATTGTTGTTGTTTAGGTGACACGCATTTAAAAAGCGGGCGAGCACGCGTCTGTTTCAGTTTCTAATGTGGTGCGAACTTGTCTCGCTTTTCTTCCGGCACTTTCACCGCAAACTGCTATATCTGTGCACGAGTATGTACGTATATAAATACATATGTATGTATATGCATACAAATAATATCGATAGTAGTCAAGTAGAAAGTTTTCTAGTATATATATATATAACCAGATTCTTCGAAAATATGAAAGCATAAGCATTTTTTCAATTCAATTGTTTTTTTAAAGTTCGAACCATCCTCGATCCTTGTTCACCTTTTAACAATATACAATTATACCGATGCTACATATAGTATATATGTATTGCATGCGCCCAGCACGTCTCAAATAAAGCACATATACATTCTTATGTAATTTCTAGGAACGCAAGCCTTCGGTTGGAGTGAAAATTTGCGATGCTACAAATTTGTTGCAAATATCTTGCCAAGCTAGGATGCCAAGCCTGTAACTGTGTGTGTGGGTGTATGTGTGTGTGTTAGGGGGTGTGCGCCCTTGTTAGCTGGCACGCGTGAACATTTGGCCTATACACAAATCTACAAGTCACTTAAGGGCATTTTGGGGATCTGTCGAAATGCAAACTCTACGAGTTAGCACTGCCAGCTATTGCTGTTTTTTGTTATTTTTATTTCGTTTTATGCTTTTGGCATTGAGGCACAAATAAATGTACTTTATTTATTTAAAAACAAATAGAAAAGTTGATTTAAGGCATGCAGACGAAGGACTTGCGTTTCTTCTTAAATTTGTTTGGGTGCCAATGTAAATAAATGGAAATAGCGCAGAGTCGTGAACAATTTGCACGCAAAAATATTTTGAAATTCGCCGAGCAATGCTAAAAGCATTTAAAGCAATTTTGGCGAGTCATTGCGACTCAATTAATTATACGGCGATGCGTGAAAAATTATTGAGAACTTTTGTGCGCTGCTTCTGCAGAAGTCAATGCCGCATTTTGAGGCACGAGAAGAGCAACGCAGCAGAGACAGCAGAGGCGCATTAATTGAAAATCATTTAGGCATTACATTACGCATACGCTGTGTGGGCTCTGCAGGATAATGACAGGAGCGCGACCTTTGCGCGTGCGTGATAATTTTATGCAATTGCGGTCACGCTAATGTTTCCGCATCGAGTTTGATTTAGGGCGAGAAAGTGTGGCATGGCATACGAAATTACGACTTCATGGCGCGGACAGCTTTACGGCGCGTTTGTTCTTTTGCTAGGTGCGTGAAGTGTATGTGTGTGTGTGTGTGCTTGAGATTGTGTTTGTGTTCGTGCGCCTAAAATCGAGCAACACTTACGCGTGCTCTCAATTTTTAATTGCTCGGCGCGCACATAAATGAATTATGGGCAAAAGGTCAAAGCACTGGCATGCTCTTGAGCTGGGTTGACAGCAACCATTTGTACATGCACTGCGCAGTTGTCCTTATTCCCGCTTTTGATATTGTTGTTGTATGGAATTGGAGTGCCTCCACAAATTTTTGGGAACTTGTAGGCACTCGTGCGTATCATTGATTGTCTTAATTGAAAACATTTCACGTTCATTTATCAATTGTATGATATAATTAGAAAGTCGAGCGCCTGAATTATGTAGAGTAAAGAAATGTTAGCAGGCGTTTCTTTATAAAACATTATAATTATATGGAAATTGATATTAAATTCAACTTTGCATATATACATACTTTCAATTCAACATCTGCTCAATGTGCTTCTTTAACAAGTTTATATTAGACTAATAATTAGGCAAAACAGAAGAGGCCCTAGTGTCTTAATCGTTAAATATTACTAATTAATGATGATGGCAGGGAAGCCAACCCGAACTAAAAAATAATAAATATGTTCAGTTATATAAGTTATATTAGTTAGACGCTAACTGTTTTAATCAAATGTACTTGTACTAAAAATTCTAAAACTAATATAAGATTTCTTACGACTACAATTTTTGCAGCAACACTAAGTACTTCTCCCACATTTTGAAACTTTCCACCGTGGTTTCATTTTGATAACTACTCGTATTTTTGCCTTTTCTTAGCACGTCCTTTCTTTCCTTTTCTTATTTTATATTCATGATTATTTTTTGTTAGTTATAACAACACCGTTGGACACTTTGTGCGGCGTATCAAAGTTAGCCAGCAAGGATATAAAATTCCCCAGCGAGTCAGATTTGTTAATCGATATTATTGTAAAATTATTGTAAAATTCATTGCTCTGTGCAGTGTGAAGTTTGCACTCACGGTCCACTCACGAGGATATTCTTTAATATTATTTTGCATTTCATGTAATACATGAAAAAACTGTCAGAAATACTACAATTATAAGTGCAATAACTTTGCATAATTATTATGTGTGTAATGCATAGCGTATTGATCGATTTATCCATACTTTGATATAGAAGCTGTTGTGAGAACATATCGATTCGTGTCTTCATATTTTTCTAAACATTTCGGCACACATTTTATATCTGCTCCTGGAGCAAACGCAATCTACCCATAGAAAGGGTTTCAATAATAAGTCTAATAAACCTTCCCGCACAGTGTCTAAGAATCTTTCCTTTTTTTCGTTTTTAAGCTTTTTTTATAATTTGTATATATTGTTTTCGTATGAATCGCCTTATCAAAATACAGAGAATATATATAACATGATTTGATTAGCCGTTATATATCACGAGCCACAATTATTAATATATATTAATATTAATTGTGTGATTGTGTGTGTGTGTTGTGTGGTCAGAATGTGAAATTCTGCAAGCTGTATCGGCATATGCCTACTTTTGTTCCTCCTCCGGATTAGATGTTTCGACCTCTTCCTCCAGGGCTAAATCGGTAAGGGGGCCAACCGATTCCTCTTTTTTGCCAGTGTCAACTGCCATGATGACATCCTTTGGTAATATCTGCTGAAGTGCCAGCACAAACTTATCCAAGTCGCCGGCTAGAGCGGCACCAACGGCATCAGTGGACAGCACGCACTGCACCGACTGCATGGCCTTTGAGTGTTGGGTCAGTGCCTGACGAAACGGCAATGAGCTTAGCTGATCCTTGATCTGCTGCTTGCGATCATCGTCGATAGCTTCGGCCTCGGGAAAGAGCACTACCAACATGTTGCTCTCCGGGTCTGCTTCACCAGCAGTAGCTGTAACAACACCTTCGGCAGCAGCGTCAATTTTCAGATTGTTGCCGATGACACAAGGACTCTGTGGCTTTGGTGGTGTGAGCGGCTTAACCTCATTTACAGAAGTTTGCTGAGGGCTCGTCACACCGCCGACAGCTGGCACGGTGCTGACTGAGGAAGTCGGGTTGGGCGTCACTTGTCCAAGCAAGGCGCTCAGGCCACCCATTTCTCCGACGCCACCAAACAACTGATTCAGCTGGGTTTGGGACATGTTGTTCAGCATGTGCTGCAAGTCCTTGTTGTCATTAGCACCGCTGGCCACTTGAGCTGGTGAGTGATTATTGAGCAGCTCGTTGATGCGACGACAGTATTCGTCGTCCTTATCCGTCTTGGGCTCCTGCATCCAGTAGAACAGGCGACTGGGTGAGGACTTGCAGATCAGCACATAGACTCGACCAGTCTTACACTGATTCACGCGTTTGTACTCAAATTCGCCAGGGAATACGATCAAATCCTCTTCCATCTTGCCAGTGCCGCGATCCTTCCAGCAGAAATGCATCAGGCTGTCGGCACCCTTCGTCATATAGACGAGACCCTTGCGGACGTCCGGGTGCACCATTTTGCCAACCATATTCATGCGGCCAGCACGAAACTCGATTAGATTGCCAGTAGCGCCACCGGAGCTTCCCGAACCACTATGACGGCCAAACATATTCCTAGCGTTTTCAGAAATCGAATTTATGTGAATTTCAACTAAAGAATTTGAATTTTTAAACGAACAAGAAGAGCCGTCGATCTTACTTCCTATTTTTCAGATGATGTAGAATATTTTCCCAGCCACAAAAACGACTGTGACAAGCAGAATTAAAAGTGAACAGTAAAAATTTTCACTAGAGAGGAGTGTCATTTCAATGTATACCTGTTCTCCGATAGGATATATATTATAGATATCACATTAAAATATAACAATTCAAAGTCTAATCTTGTAGGATCAATTAATTTGTATTTTATTTATCATTATTATAGTTATATACTGACACACCTGAGAATTAATGCGGCTTATAACATTTCAATATTTGTGCAAGCAATTATCTGCTGTTATCGAACTTAATCGATAAGTATTATCTTTTTATTACCATCACCTGAGATACTTTTTCTGAACTTTCGCTTCTATATACTAAGGTATTTTGTTTCTTCTTATTCAACATATTTCAAATGTTTGTTTTCTGTGTATCTTTAACTTATAAATAATTTTTATTTTTTTATTTAATAAGTCTTTAATAATCTTGTCTTACTTAATGTCACTTTTAATTGGTTAAATCAACGTTCAGGGCATAAGTATTATTGGATAAGTCGATACAATATTTCGCTTGTTGTCTACAGACCTTATTTCATTGGTTGAGCTATAAAATCTTTACTCTAAGTCCAAATTTTGATTTATAAAACCGTAAGTTAAAGCTTCTTTAGTAAAAAGATAAAATAAAATGTTTCCAACTAAAACAATTTTTTTTTCAGCATTCATTTTAAAAGTCTGTTCTTCCCTTAAAGAAATAGTATAAATATTTTACCCTCGTTCTGAGTAAATTAATTTAATTTTATTGATCTCTGTTACGTTCTTATTATAGGGAAAAATGTCTTAATAACACAATTTTATCTTTATTGGCCATTTTCTTCGAACAAGGACAATTTAATTTTGTTGCCACTTTTTTGTTACTTAACATTTGGCTAGACATTCGGCTTTGCAACTAATTATTCATTTCATTGTGTAAATGTTATGTTAATGCCGACATCTAGTGTAATTTGAATCCATATTACATGCTTTAATTAGGCATACTTATGTATTCGTTGGAAGCCAAATCGCAAATTCGAGTACACTGTGCATTTACATAATTGTAGGGGATGTACGAATGCCAATTAACATAAGCACAGACATAAAACAGCACGCATAATTGGCCAAATTGGATTAAACGAATGAAAGTAGCAACAAATCTATGTGGTATACTTTTCCCTAACTGACATCCGCTCCCAAGATACTTGAGATAGAGTCGCAAATTTTCAGTGAAAAGGCTTTTAAAGCAGACTAAATATAAATACAAATTGATAATTGCGTTTTAGCCCACAATGGCGCATTGCCTGGCAAATCTTTCCTCATTTGGGCATTAGCAACTTTACAAAAGCGGCTTATCAAAGAATTTAAACAGAATGCTATAAGTTGACAAAAAAAACGTAGCATTAAGTCTGCTTTTGTACAACCTAAGCGGCTTAATGTGAGGACTTGGTTAGGTAGGCAGAGAGTGAGATGAAATTTCGGCAATTGCGTCGCAAAAATCAATTCAATGAATAGCCAAACTATGGCGATAACTCTTAATTTGCAGGTTAACTGCAAAACCAATTAAAGCATTGCAATGCGGCGCCTGATCGGGGGATGTGTCTCTTGAAAAATTCAAATCAAACTCATCAAAAGAGGTAGCATCAACCCGTTCACGCTCTTCAGAAGCCGAGGGGGTTACATTGAATAATAAAGGAGAAACAAGTGTGTCAACAGAATTAGTTGAGTTATTGGGCAGACTTGTGAACGGACATAGTTCACTTTTTTCAAAGCAAGGTTTCAATTCGCCAAAATATTCCACAGATACTAGACAATCACACAATCAATATGTAGATACATACTTGTAGGTTTCTTTGCATATAAGGAAAACGGAATAATTTCAATTGAGATGCAAGGGAAAATATTACAACATTACTCAATTATCCATTGAAATAATAAAAGAAGAAGCAACTACTCATAAGAGCATTGCCGAATTAGTGGTCAATAACAAGCCCAGATGGCATCTGCGAAAGCAACCGATAGGCATGAAGCTATCGGTAAATTACTCAAAAAGTTTATATCGATAATAATTGATATGGCTTACTGCTGGACCTTCCAAGATGAATGTTGATGACTCGTAACCTTTCTTAATTAACCCATGTATTTCTGAAGCTTCGACATTTTATGTAATTGGGTAGAAAACAAGGAAGAAGAATAATGATAGATATATTATTTCTCGACATTAATTTGCTTTATCGCATTTAGCAACCCAGGAGAATGTAGTCGTCCATCCACTGCACACTGGCCGAAGCCTCATGTCCACAAAATATACATACATATGTACTTACACACACTATGTACATCGAAAGCTCACTTTTAACCTAAGAAATAACCCGTGCGGAAGAAATTAAAAAGAAAATACGCAAGTACTTTACAGCATAGACTTTCTCTTTATAATGCACCGTAACCGATGCCAGATAATTAAATAAATAACAAACAATACACTAAATCCTTTGTCTTGATTTTCTTGTCTCAATATATTTAAATTGAATTAAAGTGCAGATTAAAGTGAAGAAATGAATAAGAGAAGAAATGTGTAAACTACCTTCATGATTATTGTCCAGCACTTAGCAGGCCCACCCACGCTCATTACTCTCACGAAAATACTAAACTTATTAAAATAAACTAAAACTAAAAACAAATTTACACAAAAAAAATCCATCCACAAAATATAACTGCATTTACATACAAAAAGCAACTCACCTGAAATTAGACTTAAAGCTATTTCCACATAAAATCATAAACAATATATTTATCTGTATGTTCATTTTCATTTCATTTATTTGATTGTGTATGCGTATTTCTACGGATTTTTTTTTATTTATTTATTTTATTTGTTGCCCGCAAACTCCAATTATAGAATTTGTGTTGAATTTGATTTTACAAAATTCCATTAGTTCAGTTTACAATCGTTTGGTTGTATTGCATATGGAAATCAAGTTAGTTACGCATTCCAATAAACAATTTGAAAAACAAATACTTCTGCTTCGGCAAGAATGAATTCTGGGAAAGCTCTTTACCAGCTCTTCAGCGAATATACATAATTATAAGCAATACACTTTACGTGTAACGTGTCTTTTGTTTTCGTTTTCATTATAAAACATCAAAAAGTCAGCCCAGCGAGTTTTCCGGCACGTGCAGCCTGTTTTTAAAAATTCCTTATTACTCCATTTTATTTGCGAACGAGTTTTTAACTTAGCCGCAGCGGTGTTCTTCGCACACTTCACATACTATCTAACAAGTTTACGCATCAAATTTAAATGAAATTTTTTCAGGCGCAATAAAACATATGTGTACGGAGTACGGAGAAATAACAACAACAACAGCAACAACAAGCTGTCGTGCATGCGTGTGCACACACATTCAACACACACAAACAAACAAACATTCAATTTTGGCTTAAGCGACAGCGGGCGAAATGTTGATAAGATTTATGGCAGACTTCGAGGCACAAGCAGTTGCGTTTATGGCCTGAAACCGCGGCTGGCAAACAAGCGACTCTTGCTTGAGCGTTAAACTCGTAAAACACGCAAAGAACGAACACACACACACACACACACACTTCCATATCTGACTGCACGCTCGCATACAAAATTGACTAGAAAATGTATCTATCGGATGAAACAGAAAAGTGTTTAAAATTGATGGGATTGAATGGATACATTTTCGAATCTGACGCGTTTCATGCTCTCGCATTAGTTTCTGGCAACTGTCACAGCCATTTGTCAAGGGTTGCTTTGATTGAATTTATTCTGTTTGCTTTGGCTTTTGAGCTGACGCTTGTCTGAGCGTAAAGAGAGTGTGCGAAAACAAAAGTCGCAAATGTGTTGACAGACTGAGCCAATCAACAACTCCTATATAGAGAGTCTGTCGTCAAACTGAGCAAAACCTTTAAGACCCCAAAGTACAGGTAAAAGCATTTAAAGGGGCTGTCGACCTACAAGTAAACAGACTGCTTGGAAAAGCCGTCAATGGCAGCGGACACACTGACACGCACGAGTACCCCAGATACGTATGTATGTTTGTGGCAGACACAAGGCTTAATTGATTTAAGCATCTACCACATATGCGTGCATGCCAAACTTAAGTCAAGATCCTAACGCTGACATAGATGCCCAAATATATATATAATTATATGCAAGTATGTTTCTGGTAAATGCTTTCTTGTCTGCAGCCACAATCAGTATCTTCCCCAACTCAAAGCCACAAACTACATCCGCCAAAAAAGACGACATTTTAGCCAAAATAGTTTACGCGTCACAAGCCAAATAGCCCAGGTTAAGGCAGCTGGAAAATGCTGACAATTATTTTCCATCCCCACATATGGCGGGCCTCGAAAGGTTGGCGTGTTAATGTGCTCTTTAGCATTACACATACGACGTGTTGTACTCATATATATGTGAGCATATACATATTTTGAAAGCACCAAAGTGACAGTAAATTAGTTGTGGGTTAGCATATCGCTGCTACTATGTAAGTGAGCTGCTCTTAGCATAATTAAAATATGTACTTAAATGTTGTTCGCTAAGCCACGTTCAGATTGATGACCTGGTATTTAGGTTTGCTCATATCGTTGCTCTACACTCACGACAAAACTTTAAGAAGAATATTTTCAAATGAACAGATTTACAGTAAGACGATTTGCTGTAAGTCTGTTTAGCAGGAAAAATAGCATTGAAGCCACAACATCAAAATTCAATCAAAATCTCGATGGCTCATCTTTCCTGTATTTTGCTTTTCACTCTCTCACTCACTCACTTTCTCTGTGCCTCAGCTTCCAAGAATTTAATTTTTTGTTCTCCTGCACAAAAGTTTACGTAAGAGAATAGAAGAAGTAAGTGCCGTGTTAGTCGGAAACAACGCACAAGTAAGCAGCGTGGGGGCCTGGCCTTCTGTGTGTTACATACATTCGCACAAAACTATAATTAGGTCTTTCAAGCTAAACATTTAAAATGCAAGTTAAAGATTTCCCATTGCCATGTTCGACTACATTATTTATAATTCAAATCTAACTAAAGTCAATCCTGTTGTGAATAGAGACGTGTATATTTTGACTTTTTTAGCCAAGCTGATCAATTAAACTAAGCATGGGCTCTTTATTGCAAATTTTAAAATTAATCGCAATCTGAATACAAACGAACTTAGAAAAGAGTCTTTACGGAATTTCTTTTTTAAATTCATATAAAATTAAATCTAAAGCCATCGACAGTTGAATATTAAATTTTTGTTGCATAGTGTAGTGAATTTAACAATTTATAGACGTCACCTAAAAGCATGCTTTAGAAAAGTTGGGGTTGCACGCAGCATGTTGATGAAACAAAAAAAAGTTTAAGTCACTGACACATACTTCTAGTGCTGCATGTGTGTCCACACACCACACACACACATGCGCACACAATTGTATCTATATATAATATATATCCTTGAAAACAAAGTGTCCTTCATGGTGCAAAGTACTGCAGAGTGGCCGGGCTAGTCTGAGACTGCCATGTGGGCGCATTGACCGGCCCGACCGGACAAAACCTCAGAAGAACCTCATGCTGTGTGCTTTCTACACCCGCGACCCCCCGCTAGACTGCACGTGCCAGTTGGTGTGCATGACAATGGATGGCACATTAAATATTTATTCATGTTTTTACGCTTCAAAACTCGCAACTCAACATGAAATCAACAAGTGCCGACATAGTTGACGTCGTCATCCACACCATTGTCGTCATCAACAACATCCTTTGGTCGTGGTGCTCGCACTAAAATGAACCAATGAACCAAGCACATGTGTAATAAATACTTACCCGTACACAAACGCACTTTCCTGCTATTGCAGCAAATTAAATTGCCGCTTGACTAGCTTTCAATATCGTTTTCAACTGACTCGTCCAGGCCCAGGCGAATAACCCAGTGGCAGCAGCCATAGCCATAAAACAATTCCACTGCCATCGAACAGTCCTTCGAGCCGTAAAATACTGCCATTCCAGGTGAACTGCTGACACAACTTTCGTTTGAAGGCACCAGGGCGGGCCACGGAAGTAAGTTGAGGCGCATTTGCATACTCGGTCTACAGTAACAAGTGCCATTTGTATTTACATAAGTGTCCACATGTGTATGTGTGTGTGCATTGTGTATTTTTTACTGCCGGCTCCAATCGTACTAATGTCTCAATTTCAATGGCTTTGCACATGAAAATGCTAAAACCAATTTAAATGCAATTTGTTTAAACGTACTCTTCTACTACGTGTAGAGCACACGTGCAGAATTGGCCTTGCATCCTTCGTAAGCTTGTTGTGAGCTCCGGCCGTTGACAGCTCCAATGCAACACAATTACCAGTGATTACATAATGGGAAAGGACATACTAACGTGTACATAAATACTAATACCTCATAATTGTATTGCTGCTGGAATATAGGTAAAGGAACAAAAGGAGCACGCAATAAAATATTAATGAAAAATTGCACAAAGCTAATAACGCTAAAAGGATATTAAGACAACAGCAGCAAAAATAATAATAATAAAAACAACAATGTAAAGTGAAGCATGAGAAGGAAATAACACTGAATACAAACAGCTTTTTAAGTCGCTAAAAATATGCTCTTTTTCTTCTTATATTTTAAAGAACTTTTTTTAAAATTCAGAAATTACATATTTATAACACAGGCAAGTCTATTACAATTTCTGCTTCGTAAAAAATCGGAAATAAATATTATTGCTTATTTATTTATTTTATTTATTTAAAGATTAAAGAAAAAAGAATGAAATGACAATGAATGAAACATTAAATATTAAACTAAGCAAAACTAAAGAATAAAAAGCTTATAGAAATTACAAAAATATCTAATAATGAATCCGACTCGTTGGGAATTTTATTTGCCATTTGGCGGGTCATTACTGGCCGGAAGATAGCCAAAAACGTTATTAGACCTAACAAAAAGGTAATGAAGATGAAGAAATAGCAATAAAAATAAACAAGAAGTATAATATCATTCAAAATAAGATTCAATTAATAAAATATAATTAGAAGATAAGGGTGGAGAATCACTGATGCGTTGGGGGAATGTTATAGCCCGTATAAATGCACATTGTCAATACGAATATGCCAATCACGTTGCTGAAATAATAATAGAAATGCTTCCCTATTTATGACTTTAACATGTGAAGGGTGTTATCCATTAAGCACACCTGCACAATTTGTTGCTATTTTGATTGATAAATAAAAGGTCGAAGGGTTCTAATGAATTACTTGTAAGTCAAACTATTTATAAATGCGACAGTAAGTTGATTTCTGTTCTGTATTCTAGGATTGGATTCCTTTGGACCAGAAACTTCCGTTAATAAGGGCACAAACTGTGTTATTTTGTTCAACTCCTTTTTACCATAAATTCAAACTCCCTCCCAGGACCATCATGAACGTCTTTTTATTGGGGCGCACAATGAAGCGTCTTAAGCATCGCATGAGATTGCAGCGCAGACGTTCGCCGTGCAATAAATTTTATGCCTTTGTCGACGCCTGCTGAATTGCGTAGCAAGAGTGGACAATACTTATCAGGACCTTCTCACCCCCACCCCCCATCCAGCGCCTCTACCACACCCAACGCATAAAGTGTAGCGGCCCGGAAACGGTGTAGGAATTACTAAAATTACATAGTAACTTGGTAGTAAATTGAATTGCGTCCTTACAGCTGGATGCCAAAAATCAGAAAGGAGCACAACCAGCCAGCCACTAGGCTAGTACAGAAATGTCACGCTCATTGAAACGTGTGCGTGCCCAGGCATGTCGATGTTAGAGGCCTGTGGTTGGGCATTCCTGAATTGCCATCGTAGTTAAATGCGAAATGATGAAATTAATATGCCAAGCCACAGACGGGAAATCAGTAGCTTTAGTGTTAAAGCGTGAGCGGATTCTAAGCCAAGCAACCAGGTGGTAGAAGCAACAAAGGAAACACCATTGATTGAACAACGAGCATGCATGTTCAGCAATGTTCCCATTTCGTGGAAATACGGCCCTGTGTTGTCTTTCTTTTCGCCTTAAACCAGAGTTCCACCCAACAAATAGCGTACAACGCGCTCCAAAGTTGCTTTTGTTCATACGTCGTTGAAAATGTCTTTTTTAGTAGTGGTTTTAGATTACTCTGCACAAATTAGTTCCAAGAATTCTTAAGTGTTAGCGGAAAACGCTACTACCAGCCTAAAAGAGAAATCGGATCCGATGTGTCTTCGCATATTCAATTTGTTTAACTGTATTTCAAGGATGGCTTTTGCTGCTTCAAAAGTTGGAGTGAGTTGTCAGGCGGTTCGTTTTCTCTTGGGTTTATGAAGCATGGAACATATGCATGGTAGCTAATTGAAGAGTTTCCAGGATCGGTCAGTAAAATTGATGATTGATATACAATTGTGAAAAGCAACCAGTTGGCGCACAGCAACACTTTAATAAGAACACCAATTATTATCAATCATTAATATAACATGGTTTTCAAAACAGAATAAATACAATAAAAAAAATCTCATAAATTTTAATATAATAATTTTAAGTGCTATTATAAGAAAAGTAAAATAATGATTTTTTTTAAATTTTTTTCATTCTCTAAGAATATAAGGATTAAATCACATGCATTTTATTTTTTATCTAAAAAATAAAACTCAAAGAATAATCTTTATTATATGAGTTTATTAATATTAGCTCAGATGTAAAGTATAACTCAAAATTAATAATTATATCGTGAGAATACGAATAATAATTAAAATGCTTAAATCATGAATATACATAGACAATCCTTGAAGATGGATATTGTGGATGTAGGTGAATGATTTTGTTGCTTTAAAAAACAAAACATTATTTGTGGTCCCTGCTATAAAGGTAGTCCTTGCGTTTGAAAATCCACAGCATACTGTGAGAGAAATCGATATGACGCTAAATGAAATATTTCTTTCCATTTATTCACTTTTAAATTCTTTTTCCCCCATGCGGAAGAGATAGACAAAAACTGAATTTAAAAACATTATTAAGAAGTATAACAATAGCAATATAAAGGAACGGGCTAAACTCAAAGCAGTAATGTTTTTTTCTTTTGCACATTCTTCACCTATTTAGACTTTATTTATTTAATAGGAAAACTTACACCCACACACACGCCAACACATTTTATGCAAAGTAACAAACAACTGCATTAAAAGAATTTAAAATGAATATTTTGACTTGCCAACCTTTTCCGCTAGGTGGTGCCCCTCTCCACATTTACAATTCCCAACCCACTGATTTTTAGCTTCATACCTGAGGCAGCATCGAGCATGTTGGATGCAACCGCAAGCCTACAATGGACGCGTTGAATGAAATGCAAACAGTACGAGTATTGTTTTGTGATTTATTTATTTAAAACTTATTTGCACTGCTGTTTTAAAACAAATTTAAATTTGGCCATAACGGAACAATCCATTGATCAAATTGATTGCCAATCTTTAAATTGACAGCCACGACACGGAAAAATATAACAAATTAATGAATTGCCATAATTATAAACAAATAATTAAAAATTTGCATAAAATGAGTGAGTAAGTTTATGTGTGTGTGTGTGTGTGTGTGTGTGTGTGTGTGTGTGTGTGTGTGTGTGTGTGTGTGTGTGTGTGTGTGTGTGTGTGTGTTTGTGTGTCGATTTGTTTATTGCTGTGCGCGCTCAATAAGCAGCATTAAGAGCTGCGGCAATCTATTTACATTCAACTTTAATGTACAACTAAGCGAGTTTGAGGGTGTGAGTGTCTGTGTGTGTTTGCTTGTGGTTGTGAGAATTACGTGCCTGCGTATGTGTAAGTAAAATAAAAGCGGTGCACGCTGCCATCTTCTTTTTTCAATTACGAGTAGAACGTCAATACACTCGTCTGATTGCCACGCACAAACAGGAATGGCGGCATATCCCGACTCAGGCTCTCCAGCCAGGCCATGTAGAGGGGTGCGGTTACAATATTCTTGCGCGGCATTGGCAACGTCATGACCACCAAGTCCGATTTGGTCGATTGCTCACGCAAATATTCACGCAAACGCAAATAACGATTTGTCTTGTCCTGCACAGCCAGCAAATCATCGTCACTAATTAGTGCTAGAAAACATTTGAGGGGGACGAAGCGGTTACAAGAGATTTTTTCACAACAACCACTGCCTATTGCTTACCTTCCTCTTCGGTAACGTTGTTCGGCAATTTGGTGCTGAGGCCATTCTCCTTATCGCTGACCACAAAGTCCTTAATGAGTTCGTTGAAAAACTGTGTAGATGTTTCTTGTGGCTTCTTCGTTATGTCCGGAATCAGCGTCAGATCCGAATAATCAATGCGAAATTTCGACAGTAAACTAGCCATAGAGCGCTGCTCGAATTCAAGCTCGGCCTTTTTGTTTGCCAGCGCATAGACTCTGCAAAACAAAAGGAAAGCAAACTAATTTGGTGCCCTGTCTAAACTATTAAAGCAAAGAGTTAGCCAAGGTACTATGTGCATTTACTTTACAAGTCGAACAAAAATATAAAATTCACCGAATTTAAAGTATAGAATAATGAAGTATTTCACTTTATAGAAATGCAAAAATGCTTAAGCAGAACCCCGCAAGCAGTTTAAATCAAAGTTTTCTCAGAAAAGTACACAAAGCTGTTGTACACTGGAATTTGATTAGTATTATTTAGATCACAGCATGCTGTCAGTTGCCAAACTGATGATTAATCAGTAAATTATTTGAATTTGCCAATGTATTGATATTTACAAGCTGCCCTAATTAAAGCTAAAATAATTCATTTTACACAGAAATTATATGCATTTTTAATACTACTTTTCCATAGTACTCTTTTTTAAGTATTACTCACTTGACCAAAGACCTGTTTGACCAAACTCTGTTACTAATATTTCAAGCTTTTTAGAAGTTAAAATGTACTTAATATCTTGCTATACAATTTTAAATATGTTATTTATTTACGAAGTCAGAAAATTGTTTCTCTTTAACTTTGGAATTTCCAATATGTATTTCTTGTATTTTTTAATTTTGAAAAATGTTGGAAACCTATTTTTAAAATTTGTTGAAAATTGTGATAGATGATGAAAGGAAATGAACATAAAACAAATAGCGTATTATTTAAATTGTTTACAAACTAACAACGATCTCTGAATTGGTCTAATTCTTAGGATTAATAACTACAACTGGCCCTTTTTAAAGTTTCACCAACAAATCTAAATCGGTTTAAGAACCTACTGTCGTATTTATCTTTAGCATTTTTGACTTATAGGCTTATTATTTTTGAAGCTTTTCCGTACATCGACTCAATTGAAAATGTGTGGCCATGCAGTAAATCAGCCTTTATCTCAGTGTTCTCCATTCTGCTCAGGGATGTGCACATTTTAAGGCGCTGACACACAGACAATTTCAATTCGAATCCCAATGCCAATGCCAATAGCAACAGCTGACAGCTGTTGCTTGCGCTTCTAAATGCTGTTTATGACTGTCAAGTTGGCATTTATAAGAGCATAATGTTAGCGCTCAGCTCAAATCAACTTCACACTAAGTCAGTGAGTCAAGCAGTCAGTCCATCTCTTGTTCAGTCAATCAATGTTTGGTGGCTGTGAGGCATACTCAGACAATAGCAGATTTAGTTTGCTTAGCAACTGATATGGCTTAAATGTTGTTACTTGTTTGTCGGCTTTTCGCTTGAATCAACTTCAATTAAGCACCACAGAAATTTATATCAATATAAAAAGTTGCTTTACAATTTTCTTTGCTGCTTCCTGTCAAAATCTTTGCCACTTCATTAGGCTTATTGAGCAAAGGACCTTGAGACGCACAAACGTACAAGCACCAACTTGTGTAATAAGAAATCAATTGCAAGTGGCGCCTCGAAGTATGCTTTCAAAAATCTGCATGCTAAGAGAGTCGTCCTGATACGCGTTATTAAGTAGACATTACACAAAGAAGCACAGCAAGAGGAAACCAAACGCCTTTAATGTGCACACCCCACGCATACAGCACATATGTATATATAGTATACTGTGTATAGGTATGTGGGTGTATAATGTACAACTCAATTGCCGAAGAGCCAGGCTCACCTCAATTTACATGATTGCCAGGTGCGCCGCGTGCTTATAATATAGGGTAGCAGCAGTGTTAGACCGCCGTCGTCGTACAGCCACCAGACATCGATAACAGCATGGCTGCGTTTACGCGTAAATTGCGTTAAATCAGCCAGCACGTCCTTGGAGAGCTCCACGCCACCGGGACCCTTGTAGAGGGACGTGGGATCGTCGTGTTTTTGCTTCGATTTGCGCAATGTATTGGGCTGTAATGTAATGTAATGTAATGTAAGGAAATACAATTTCTTCATCATCATCATATTTTCTTTATTTGCAAATTAATGTATTTGACTTACAAGCACATTGGCTGTCTTAGCCTCCTGTGGATCGGGCAGACCGGAAACATCTTTCGTTTGAGTGCTGGCAATGAAGCTCAGGTCGCTGGTACTGGAGGCTGCGGACAATCACAATAAGTTAGTTAATGAAATGTGTCAATTGTATTGGAACACGCAACATTCCATAACAGTCCATGCAATCAATGCAAGGCATGCCAACAACACAATACAAGTACTTGGAGCACACTGCGTATACTTTATGAACAACCACAACATTTCCATTTGTCATAACCGCGCAAGAAATGCCACCGAATGGCATAACTTGTGTAAATACACACGCCCCCAAGCCCCTTCACACCCAAACGCACACATACACACACAATTCTATTCCTTTCGCATGTTTAAATTATTTGACGCTCAAGTGGCGCACAACTACAATTCTCAGTCCCATTTACGTCAAATTCCCCTGCCAGTTACCCAGAAACGTGAAATGGTATGTAAAGTAAACATTTTTCAGCACACACGAGCTGTGCGGCCCAGTTACAAGCGTAACAGCAACAAAAGCAAAAGCACCAAACAGGCACACAAATCACCGCACAGTGGTTCCAGCCGCTGGTTAGTGCAAAAATAAAATTATATTTATAGCAAAAACAAAAGAGCAACATTGAAAATATGTAAAATTGTAAAATTCCATCAAATTTCTTATAGTCTACAATCAAAAACCAAACAATTATTCTATTCTTAAGTTATTATTTTACATCTAAGATCAGGAACACATAATTAGCCCAAAAATTTGACACATTTGAGAATTAAACTAAAGATAGTACATTTGTTTACGGAATACCTCTTAATCTACCCAATGATTTACATTTGGTATCATTCTTTCATTCAACTGAACAATAGTTAAATAGTTCAATGAATTCGAAGGGCGCCTAACTTTCCCGAATAAGAAATAGTTTCGTTATTTAATTTTATTTACATATACTGTATAACGATATGAGTACACGGCCTATATTTAATCTTCAACAAATTATACGTTTGCATATATGATAAAAGCTTAACGCTAAAGACTTTCAAAAAAGAATTAAATCATCATGTACAGTTAGAGAATTTGTAAAACTTTGTTGGTAAAATTCTATAATATTTAGGTGAGTATTAAGAATCCTATAATCCTTAAATTAGTTCATCTTAGTCTCAGCTATCCACTGAGATCTTCTTCAGCATTTGAACTGCAATATGCCCATGATATTATATTTTAAGTCAAATCGCAAATGTTTCCTAGTCATTCTTATTACACAGCCGACATGTAAAGCTTGAATATCCCTTAGTGTTCAGAAATGAAGAGATGGATCCTTTATAATTAGCTTGACTCTAGTTCTCTTTTCCTTAAAAACAAATTGTAGATAGCAAATAAAGGCTAATTCTTACATCTAGGCTTAAGTTGAAAATAGAACATGAAATAGCAAACATGCGCGATGACTAAATCACCCGGAAAAGGGTATATTTCTCACTACTTGACTGTCCGTCTTAAACTGTGTGCCGCACTCTTATCTCATAACTGATTCGAATCAAATAAATCTTATGAATTGCTCCTAAATAATTTAAACTAGAAAACGTTTTTGACTTGAAATATTTTTCGCCACAAAGTAATAAAAAATATCGAATTATTCAACGACATCTAAAACAAAAGCTTAAAGCCTTCAATATTTAATTTGCTACAAAAAAAAGGAAGCATTCCTTTTTCCACGCTTTAAAAAGGAAAACTGAGTCACTGTGCCAAAGAAAATAGAACCTTTACACAACTGGCACACAGTTTCCGTTCCAGCTGCTGGCGCTTTCAATTCCGCCTGCCGTGTACATTTACACATGTCGAGCGAGCAACTTCATTGGCCATTTTACATTCTTTGCTTGGGGTTGCGTCTTGCATAAATTTAAATTCAAATTTATTGTATTAATTTTGATGCAACATATGGCCAAAAGGGTTCGCCAAGGCGTTCGGGGCCCAAAAGGGCAAGCAAGTGCTGCCAGTTAGACCAAAATAACAATCACCATTAGCAGCAGCCAAATTGGCCGACGCTCGGACCGCTGCTGTTACTCCTGACTAGTCGTCAGTCAAGTGGAAGTGTCGGAGCCCCTTGGGCCACTTGTTTTGTATACTCGGGTTAGTTTTGTATGCTTTGAATGACATTAATTTGTTAGCAAGTTTTATGGCTTAATGAGCAGGGAAAGGCAAGGCAAGGCAAGGCATGAAAAAATCAAGGCAAGGCATAAACTTCAAGTCAGCAAATATTACGCATACGCAGCGCAAGCTCAAGACTCATGGTTCATGCACATGTGTGTGTGTGTGTGAGTGCGTGTATGTGTGTGTGTGTGTGTGTGTGTAGTTTCCTTCATTCATATTTACCTACTAAGCCTACAACAAAATCACATTCCATTTAAAACATGTAAATTTTTGCTTGTGCTTTGCTTTGAACAACAACAAAAAAATGTTAAACAACAACTTCACCTGGCCACGAACGTATTCTACGAATACTCTGCTTAAAACGCACTATAAACCAAAAGTGGGAGAGGAAAGGGAGAAAACGTGTAACATCATTCCAATTGTGACTTTTCCTTTTTCTATTTGTTTGTTTGTTTGTTTGTTATTCTTTGGGAGCATGCTACTTACTTTTGACCAGCTTCAGACTATTGCCATTCTCTGCTTGGACTAAGTCGTTTCCAGCATCTAAGGTGTTGTTATCGCATCGTTGTCGTTCTTTTTGTTGTTGGTTTTTAGGTGCATTATTTATTTGTTGGTGCAGTTCATTCGATTTTAATTTTGATTTGTTGGTGTATTTATTGTAAGAAGTGCAAGATTTAGTTTGAGTTTGTAAAAGCCATGCGAAAAGAGAAATTACAAATTTAATAATTAGATACTAAATAGTAAAAGGGCAAGATTCAAATTAAGTCGACTCTCTCTTTCTCTCTATATATTGATGAATAAACAAGCATATCTGCCTAAATTTTAATTTGAAAACAGTTATTTACAGCTTATTTAATAATAATAGTAAGTATAGGCTTCCAAAACCTATAAAACTTATGTTCGATGAGAAATTTGAAATTTGATTTATTAAAGAAATGAAATTTTACATTTCATCCTTTGTTTATTTGAATTCATTTTCATTAAGATTTTGCTAGGAAATTAATATGCAACCTGAATTCGAATCTTGCCCTAGCATGTCAATGGCTGTCTTCCTACTGTGCAGCATGCCAGAGCTGGGACCTATTGGAGACTCACCTTGCGACACATTGCGACTTAAAGAGTCCATGCTTCCACTCAGCCCATTCTGGGCGCTGCGCTCCACCGTCTGCAAATCGCCAGAGCTCTCGTTTGGCTGCAAGGTGCGGGGCACCTCGACAAGAGTGCGTTGCACGCTGCTACACTCATCGCCCAACAATTGGGCGCAGTCCAAGCCGGATGGTATGCGCAATATGGCCACAGATAGATACATGTCCAGCGCCTGCAGAAAGAGAGAGGACAGACCACACCACAAAGAAATCGTAACCAAAAGCGTCGAGGACAAAAGTGTCATTAAACGCACCTTGTGCATCACATTGAAATATTGCACGAGCTCCTTGTGCTCGCATGTCTGCCAATCGGCCTTGTAACCCATTAGTATAATGTTTGGCTTCAGTTTGCCAATGCCCGAGGCTTGCATAAGTGCCCGAGTGCCGGCCTCAAAGTCCTCACCATCGACCAGAGCGTAGAAGCCTTTGACGCGATGTTTCCGGAACCAGCTACTGGCTCGGTCGTGTAAGTAATTGCGATACTTCTGGGTAGTGGAGCTGGAGCCGCGCAACACATGGCCGCACACCAACAAGGACAGGTTTTTGGTCAGCATATAGGCGAAGTCCACAAGGACTGGCCGTGTGTTGGGCAAGCCGGAGAGCACGAGTATTTGCGGTCGATAATTCTTTACGTGCTCCTCCACATTGTTCAACTGCTGCACCGACATTAAAGCGTTCTTATAAGTTTGCGCCTGGGTGGTCGATCCCCAATTGACGTCCGGCTTCCGATAGGCGACGATTAAGTACAGCGCCAGGACCACTCCAAACGTGATGAGCGCAGTTCCCCATGAAATGAGAAACATGACTGCCACACAAAGCGCAGCGCCCACCAGACTGAGCCACATATTGTAATACTGCAACGAGCAACAGGAGAGGCTAATTAGAAACCAACAACACCCCATCCCATCGCCCATCGGCATGCAAATAGCTTACCTTGAAGGTGGGTCGCCAGCCGACTGGCTTGGCCAGACTGGCATGGAATGTACTGAAGTTGATTAACATGTAGGCGGCCAGGAAGAAATTCGATATAAGCGGCGCTATCAAATTCAGCTCACCTATGAGTATGAAGCTGTATTATGGAATGCAAATTGAAATTAATGTCTGTCTCTTGGAAATTCCTCCGCCAGCTACTTACGCCACAGCTATGACAAAGGTCAGCACATAGCCGCGCACGGGCTCGTTATTCTTGCCAAAGCCCTTGGCGAACCAAACAATTTTCGGATAAAGCTCATCCTTGCACAGTGCCTGTAAAACACGAAAGCATATAAATGCAAAAATGGTAATTAAACAATTGAAGTTAATTATATTCCAGACTACTGCACAAAAATAACTTTAATCTGTTTAACAATACTTTATTAAATTTGGGTGCAACATGCTTCATTATCTGACAGCATTATTTGTAAAAGACCCGGGCAACCTCTTGTATTGATTAAACACTAATTATACAAACACACTTTAAGCCTTCTTTTGTTAAAAAATTTATGTTTTTATCGCTTTTCCAAACCAACAACACATTTTTGTCACAGTAGATGCCATTATTTGCATTTAGTTCAATGAATCAAAAGCCATTTATTTAATTTGTAATACATCCGATATGAATATCAAAAAAAAAGTACACTTTAAACCAAATTTGCTTTTACGAAATTGTGCTGAAAGTATTTCAAAAAGTATACAATTTGAGAAAAAGTTATCAATAGTCTATGGTCGGTTAATGAGTTACTTATGTGTCACCAAAGAATACTATTTTTGAAATCATATAAGCAGCAATACTACGAAACACCCCCATTCCCGGACCCAAATAATAGTACAACAGAGTACTATTCCTTTGAGTTGACGACCGATTTCTCCAAATAGGTATAGACTTAAAAATGTTTAATTAATTTGTACTCAATGAAACGTAAAGAGCAGAATATACAAGTAGTATGATGACTCGACTAAAAGGGCCTAAAGGCAAAAGAAGAGCGCGCAAGATGGCGAAAGTATAGGCGAACAGGCTTATTTTCTGATTTACATCGTAGTGCTGTTAACAAATCTTATTATGTATCAATCTATATCTTAAATAAACTAAAAGTGTCGATTGAAGTATACACAATTATATTGCTTTTATTTTCAAATAATCATTTGATTATCAAAAAGATACCTTTCTAATACTTTTGTAGTTCTGATACCTTTTATGAATAACATTCAATGTTTTTCCTGACGTATATTCCTTTGCTCAATAATTTGTCTTAGGCTGCATCGTTTCAAGGGCGGCATTCTGATAGATACAACCATATGGTCTCTAAATTAACGTTAAGCGATAGAATATTGCTATTAATATTAAATAACTCCACAGTCTTATTAGGCAAACACATCATGACAGGGACAAGTAAATTGTCAGCACTGTCAGAGTTTTTATTTTTATTTTATTTATATTCATGTCAACAAACATTGACTGTCGACATGGAAAAACATTACACCTAATTCTGTTTTTACACGGTAGATTGGTTCCTCGAAAAAGTCGTGTTAAAACAGATCGTGTAAAAACAGAATCAGGTGTATATAAAAATAAATATAAACAAAAGCCTTATAACCTAGGAAAGCCTTCGTAGGAGAAATCTAATCAAATCACAATAATATCTAATAATATCTAACAATAATATCTAATAATATCCGCCCCGATCATATCAAAAAATCCCGGTTGCACTTTGTAAGGTACTTTTCTACAAGAGACCCTATGTAGAAAAATCATCCGCAAGTAATTTCCGCCCTTTTTTTTATCAAACTTGGAATTTTCTCACAACTTCTGACACTTCAGAACTATATTTATAGGTGAGTGTTAAATCAAGCGTACAAAAATAAATAAATTGCGTTATAATGGCTCAAAAATAATTCTATCACCTTTTCGGTTATGACTAACCCATTAAAATTTATGAACACTACGTATATATGTAGTTATCTATATATTGGCCTATGCGGCCCGTACTAATTTATGAAATTCTTTCTTGTGGCCATAAATGAAGAACGAAATCTGTAAAGTGAAATGACTTCATAATCGACGGCATCGTAATGCTTCAAAATTTATTTGCCACCAGAATGCTTTCGTGTTGGCATTTAAAAAGAGTGTTCCAATCTGTGTTGGACAGTCGTTAACGTCTTCGCTACCGTACGGACCTCAAAACCGAAACAGTTTATTTTCTCTGCAATTGCAAAAAGTGTGTATTAAGCTTAAGAAAATGTGTCATTCATCTGACCCTAACGTGTGTGATATTTTTTCAGTGCATTTCACAATTTCTATGCTGCTTCTAATGCTTGGCCTCAGCATCTCACTGGCGGAATCCACATTCGATCCAGAAGTTATGTGTTCGCTGCTGATGGATGGCACAAAAATCAAAGACCCTCGTGCATGCAATGCCTGGATAATATGCGAGAATGGCAAACCCATCCAGGGCGCCTGTGACGCCGATCAGTACTATAGCAGAGAGGATCAGGAATGCGTGCCATCAGACAGCATCGAGTGCATAACGAGCAACCCATGTCTGGTCGTTGGAAACGGCTTCTCGGCTGATCCCTACACATGCAATAGCTATTACTATTGTGTGAATGGCGTTGGCACGCTGGGCCTTTGCAGCTCAGGCTTTAATTTTAATCCCCTCACAAATGCCTGCCTACGAAACTTCGAATGCATAGAGAAAATGATGCCGGAGAGTTATTGTAACATTGTGCCCGATGGCGTATTTATAAAATCAACAACGAGCTGCACAAAATATCAGATGTGCTGGAAGGGTAACGTCATCGAAAATGTATGTCCTGGCACCTTCTACTTCAATCTACTGAGTGGCCAGTGCGATTATCCAGAAAACGTAGCATGCGACATAGTTGAGGACCCACTCATTGCCGAGCCAGGACAGTGCTCAGCAGATGGAGAATTTGTGCCCGACGGCAGCACCTGCAATGGCTACTACTACTGTCATCTGGTTGATGGACAAATGCACCTAAGGCATGGCGAATGTGCCAAAGGCCGATTCTTTAGTGATGGCGCCTGTCGACCACGGGCTCAGGTCAGTTGCGCCTACGATCGCTGTGCCGGCCTAGGCGAAAGCAACTTTGAATTGGCCAATGAATCGGAAGATGGTTGCACCAGCTTCACAATTTGCGAAAATGGTGTCAGCATCGGCAGCGGCCATTGTCCTGACAACCAGTACTTCGATGAAGTTCTTCAGAAATGCACGCATGACCTCGTATCCTATCCAGCCTGTAAGCAAGCAGTGACAAGCACTGCTAAGCCGACAAGCAGTACAACCCAGGCAAGCAGTGCTCAGCCAACAAGTAGTTCTTAAGCTGAACACAAAATATTCGATTTATTTCTGCAAGGCGGTTTCAAGCTCAAGAATTAATTATTATTAATCGATAAAATAGAACACAATCATCCCTGAAACCGAACAATGCGCACCTATATTCCTATCATCAAATATTTATTTAATTGTACCCATTATTCATAATAATTTATTTTAGTGAGATCTACATACATATTTAAAAAAAAGTATACGTTTTTTATTTTTATAACTAATATAATCCATTTTAAAAAGTAAATTACGCTTAATTAATCTCAATATGGAAATGCCAAAATCCCTTCAGTCGCCACCAATCGTATTATGTATTTATGTTATTTAATTATTATTATTCGAATTTTTTTTGAAAATGGGTAAGCGATGGTGTTTATTTTCGAATTTCTTATTTTCGACTATCATGAAATGAAAATATACTATATATAGTCTATCAGCAGTTCAACCAAATTCCACTTATTTATTCTTAAAATGCAACTCTACTTTAAAAAAGAATCAAAAAAAGTTTATAAAAGCTTTATTTTCAGCAGTAATCCAATAACTAAATAATTGTCAAAAAACGATCCGTTCGATTAAAGTCAATCTATAGCCGTTTGATAGGTTAATATTAAAATATATATCGATTTAATATAAAACACAAGCTATTTTTTGAAATAATATACTTGTTACCACACTTCAATTTTGAGCTCAGCAAAGAGTCTTACATAAGAAACCACTATGAATTATTATTTATTTAAAAGATTAATACCAACTTCAACAAATGTACATATACATTTAATTTACCACTTCATAAGATTTAGATATTTCTGATATAATTAATTACCTTATCACATCTATAAATACTAAAGATCTTATGCGCTTGTGCGCATTTGTGCGATTTTGTAATCGTTGTGACAGTTTAGGGGCTGATAACAAGAATTTAGTGTTCCTATACACCTAACTAAAAGTTGAATGCGATATCAATATTATATGGGAATCGTATTTATTATAGTTCCCTATAAATATATACTGTTAGATGATAATACTCACCTCTCTTATTATATTATACTGAAAACTAGACAGAAAATGTTGCTTGATTGTTTAAACGGATGGTGGGCAGACAAAAAAAATAAATCTTTAATCAAGTGCTTGTTTCTCAAGGAAAACATTTTCTGCCTAACAGCTCTCACTAATTATTCGACTTTAATTTTTGCTTCTAAGTAATATCATGAACCTTAAAGCCTCACCTGAAACACCTTTGGCGCTGAGACCAAGCTGGCCAAGGCCGAGGATAGGGTGGCAGCAAAGCAGCCGGCATAGATGAGAGGACCAAAGCCCGAGACCAGCTCAATCACTTGGAATGAATTGTGCAATCCATAGTCGCATTCGCCTGCAAAGTCAATTGAATTTGGCAGTTAACGAGAAGTTACGACCTCACCAAGTTCGCACCTACCCGGCAGACAGTCCAAGAAGGCGAAGGAGCCATTTACGACGTCGGTGATGTTGCCGGTGGCATCGCGAGCCACCGTGCCGCCGCATATCAGCACCATGAGCAGATAAGTGCCCGTTGTTATAATGATGGCTAAAATCGTGCCCTTGGGTATAGATTTTTGAGGATCCTGTAAAAAAGGTCGTAAAATGTTGTAAGCGAAATGCAAGTAAGACAACAATTAATCGGGTACCTTTAAATCTCCAGAGATGTTGGCGCCAGCCAGAATGCCTGTGGCTGCGGGAAAGAAGATGGCGAACACGGAAAAGAAATCATGATGGACGTCGTCATCCAGGCGATAGTCCGCAAACATATTTTGTTTAAATATCATGGCTGTGTGAAAATTTGATTAAAAGGCTGGCCAAAATGAACGCCCGCATCAACTTAATAGCCACACTTTACCGTTGTAGCCGAGGAAGCCCTTGGCCAACTCCAAATCGCTCTTGGGCCCAATGAAGCTGCCAATTATGAAGTCCGCAATGGCTGCCAGCAAAATGACGAGCAATCCAATTTGTGCCTACCAACAGCATCAACAGCATCAACAACAGCAGCAAAAGAGCAAATTCGGGTCATTAAATTGCACAGAGATTCCGTGGGGCATAAAGGGAGGGGATAGAAATTAATCATACGCACCTTGGCCTCCCACTCCATGCCAACAACAACGATTATCAAAAGCAGCAGTATGGTGACGCTGCCTATGATGCGAACATCCATGATGCCACCGTCAATAATTTTTCCACCAAATGTGCGCATCAGATCCCGCATACTCTCACAGAAGCCCACAACGTACATGGCGCAGGCAACGGCATTCGCCAACGAGAATATCAGGCCAATGGAGCCACCAAATTCCGGGCCCAGTGAACGTGATATCATGTAATAGGTGCCGCCTGCATGCAGCAGCGCAAAAACAGGAAAAAATTTGCATAAATTTATTAAGAACAATTTAAAACAGACAGAGCAACAGAGACATCCAACCCCAGCCCCAACTCCAGCCAGCAACCAACGCACTCTCAGCTTACCTCCTTTGATGACACCATTAGTGCTTATCGCCGACATTGACAACGCAGTTATGGTCGTGACAACGGTCGTAGTCAGTATTAATAGGAAGCCTTCTACAATGCCCGCCTGGCCGACCACCCAGCTGAGGCGGAGGAAGAGCATCACACCCCAGATGTTTAGCAGGCAGCGTACAAGGACACCTTTGATCCAGCCAAATTTAAGCATGCCATTCATGATGCCCGACTCCAGATCCTGATTGCGTGTCAAGCTGTGCGTGTTCTGTGAATGAATGGTTTGTCAAACACACAATATACAATATATACTCGCTATCCACTTATATACTATATACATTCATCAAGGATGTGAGTTGCAAGGGAGAGATTCAATAAAACAGTCTGTGAGCTTGATAAATGATGCCCTTAAAAACGCCAGAGAATTGGCCAAATATTTGTCTTAGCTACTGCTTTCGGGCACAGAAAGGTGAGAGTTTATTACCAACAGACATAAGGCATTTCATTATGCGAGAGAGGCGTTCAAAATAGGCACGCACACAGCCTTTAATAGACGCAAAGCTTGACTTTGGCGGCACATTTAATGACAGGTCAGCGAAGCAACAGCGACGGCGACAGCACAGGTCAGCACATGACAACACCCATCCACCCATTGAAAACACCCACACAATTGATGCTGGTTGGTAATTTGTTAAGGGAATTAAGCATACGCCACCGCAACAGCAAAAACAAACTCGAACGCGAACGCAAACGCAAACACAAACGCGGCAACAGTTGAGCCAATTAAACTTTTGAACTTTCGGTCAGAGATAAATGGGGCGAGACGCATTCTGAGCCGAGCTGGATGCTATTGGGGCATGTGCCCATTTCATTTGTGGGTATTTATTTATAATTATGAAGGTCGCGCATTAATTCATTGCTCATGCTGCCTAGGCCGTTAATTTGATATATATCTTAAAATGAAATCACCAACTTTACAATTGCTTTATATATTTCCTCCATTTCCTGCAGGTGCGCCAAAAAGAAAATACAAAGATTATTTTTTTATTAACAGCACTGTCTAGTCATAGGTAAAAAATGGGCCCTAATAATTTATGAAAATTGCCATTAAAGAAACGCCATTTTAATTATTTATGCCGCTTCGAAAAATCAAGTAAGCAACGCCTTGTTTCTTGGAATATATATTCAAATGATGCGACTAAACAAAAAATGTTTATCTGATTTATTGGTAAATTTAAATTATTTAATCGGCTTATCATATCTAAAAGAATCCTCAACCATTGCAAGAGAGAATGTTATTGTTTATTTGGCCTTCGATGCTTCTTTTGAGGGCTTTATGCAGCTTCTATCTGCTCATTGCTTAACTTTTTTTGTGAATTTAGTTTTTATTTCACAGAAAAATTTAATAGGGAACATATAATAGCATTTGCAAAGGAAGCACAGGTTAAAAGGGTTAAGCCCACCGGCTTATAAAACAAAATGTTCTTTTCTGAAAGCAGTTTATCTTTGCATTCTCATAATCAGAATTAAACGAAAATGTAAAATATTTAAAACGAAAAAGTCAGGTCATGTAAGAGATGTGTCTTCGGCTCAATAGTATATATACTATATATATATATATATATAATTTATGTTCCGAGCTGACTTTGCGGTGCTATCATACACATATGTATATATAAAGAAACTTCTCAATTCAATTTGATTAAGATATTTTCATAGTAACAACAATGACAACATTTTAGCATTTCATGATCAAAACCATTTATTGATCTATAATATGGGATCTGTCGCACCTGCTTATAAGCTATCGGACTCTTTTTTAAGCGCATAATACTATACACAAGAAAATTCTAAAAGTTTGTCTCATTGTACATACATATATAAAAGAAAAGTAGCTTACTATAAATTTATTTTATTTACTCAAGTTAGAACAATGCAATTGCTAAGCAATTTTATTACATGCCCGCCATTTTGAAACGGCCGATTATGAAAAAGATCCTAACTTAGAAATGGAAACTGTCATTCCAAAAAACTGAAAATTAATTACATTAGAAATGCTTTAGTCACCGTCCTGCTTAATGAGCTCATTACGACTGATTTTTATCATTTACGCCCTCTTTAATTTAAATTTTCTAATGTCATCTGCTAACCAATATAAGTATTTCGTGCCCCACTTCTCTGCCAATCAACGTCATCGTTCGGGGTCGTTTTTGATGCAATTACAACGTCAGCTGGACAATTGAGGAATTTGTAGTGCTAATTGACAGAGTTTTTTACGAGCATGAGAGATTTCAATTGAACACACTTCGAAAATGTGTAAACTTCAATTAGTTTCAATTGATGGCAGTCGACATTTTCAATTTGTGACGCCGCCAAATTGAAGAGGACGCAGAACTGACTCACGAGTGCAAATCAAAAGTCAAACGTAAAGTCAGCGCACTCTCAATGTAGAGTGGGTTTATCAATCTCGTTCTATGTCTGAGTGGTTATCAATTTTTTTTGGGGGGGTGGTGGTTGCCGCAAGCATTTGAAATGCTTGCATTGTGGCTTAAAGACGCCAAACTTTGCATGCCCTCCTACGTAGGTTGGTGGTTGGATGGACTCTGTGGCAACAATTTCCATTTTCTGATGTTTTCCCGACCTTTGTTCTCCAAACTGGCTGGTATGGTAATGAACTCAAGTGTTTGCTGTCACGCTTGTGCGCCGCCCTCGACATCGTTGCAAATTATAATTTTTCAAATGAGCTAGGTTGGTCTTAAACTTTGTGGCGCTTCTAAAAAATGATGAGACGAGCATACCCTGTATTCAATAAATATTTCATAAGCTAACATACTTTAAAGCGGAAATGAGTTGGATAACAACAAATACTCGATCGACTCGAGGACTAATACATTTGAGATCTAGGTCCAATTGCCTTGCTCCTTCACAGTAATTGGAAAAGAGTTCATTGTTTTTTTGTTTCTAAAAATTTTACAATTTATTAAACCAGCATTCTGCTACCAATATGGCAGCTTGAGTTAGTTGAAAATAAGCTTAAACCTGCACAGCTAATTTCGGATTCTAATTTCTATTTGTGCAATAATTTTTAAACTATCGAATATTATTTTTTAAAAAATATATAATATTTATTTATATATATTTGTATTCAATTTTTATTAAATAACTGTTCAATTGGGAGAAATAGCATGGCAAGCTTGATGCCACCAGGTCTTAAGCATTTTCAGTTATAAACACTCTTCTTTTTTTTCAATTATTCAAATGCCAAAAAGTATAAATATAATTAATGAATTCTACTGCGGATTCGGCTGATCGAGAAAATGTTTTGTGTGATTATCCCTACAACAACCTTTTATGTGTAGGGCATACCAAGAACAATAGCTCCAATTGCCAGTGCTTTAAGAGTACTTGACACTTGACGCTACGGCGACGATTCCACGCCAAGATGCCAGAATATTGTCAACTAGCGGACAACAGCAAATGCCACGAGGCTTAACCAAAATGATTTCGGCCCTTCTCAATCGATGGTTAGAACGCTGGCATGTGCCACTTCCTAACTGGCGTTATAAATTTAAATTTGGCCGCCAGCGGAACGCACTCTGACTCCTAAACGCATTCTGATTTTATGGCAGCGCACTCACACAAACATAAATCGTTATTTGTGACCCCGAGAGATGGGCCTTGAGGCTACAACCTTTCGTCATTTTATGGCTGTGACGTAAATATCAATTTTAAGGGCATTTGGCAAGACGGAAGCATGCATAATTTACAGTATACACTCACCTTTCGAACCAGCGTGGCATTGTGAAGCTCATCGAGCGTTGGACGGTATGCGGCCTGTATGGACATCATGTTCCGGTAGTTGTCGAGGCGGGGCAACGCCTCACGTGTGAAGTGCCTGCAAGGATTATAATTGTAAAGTTAAATCGAGCATTTCAGGGAGAATACAAGAATAATATATATTTTACTAACCGAAAACTTTTACCATATTTTGTATCGTATTCATTGTCCAGAAGTTCACGCTCCTCTTGCGAATCATTTGAGTCGTCCGTGTCCACATTTTGTGGCTCGACTTGAAAGCGAGTCGTAGTCTGCAGGTCCTTGAAACGTGAGGGCTTATCCTTGTCGCGAAAACTGCTTTTGATGGATTGCCTGCAACAACCAAATTAAAATGTAAGCGAAACAAGGCACAACAACTGCAAACAGCGAGCAAACGCAAATGTTTGTCCGAATGCCTGCAAACTGTTGGCTACACTGTTTTTTCACCATTAATTTAATTTAATTCAAGCACAGTCGAGCGAATGCCGGAATTTCACGCCTGTGGGCGTTTGGAAATTCCTGTTGGGGATTTGTTGTGGCACCCAAAAAAAAATTGATGTTCAACACAAAAAAGAACAACATTGTAGCCCGATAGCAATGTACCCTTTATCCTGTGCATACAATTCCGGCGCTGGGTTATATATGTAGGTTGTTAGTGAAGAAGAAGAAGAAGAAGAAGGGCGTGTCTGGTGGTGTACTTTGAGGCACAAAAATTGTTTTTAAAACTGGTAGAATGCAGATTCCAAAGCTGATATATTTTAAGAGCATAAAAAAGTTTACACAGATTTCGTAAAATGACCAGCAAGCATCAAATTTCCGCTTCCTATTTATGCATATTAATATACACGTACGCACTATGAAATATGTCCTCATTTTATCAAAACTCATAGAAGTGTATCTCGTTATCAATGTTATAGTACTAATGAGTTATTTTTAAAGTAAAAGTGGTATATTTTTTTTTCTCGTAAGTTCTATATATTTTTTTGATCTTAATATCTATCACATTTATCAGTACTACATTTTTCGTCATTTATTATTATACATTCAACAGAATCAAAAAGCAAACAACATTAGTTTTCGAAATCTTTTTTTGCAAACTGCTTCCGGTTTTGAAGTATTTTTTGTATTCCTCTCTGCTATGTACCTCAAGGAAAAAAGAATATGTGTGTATTTTTTTTTTTTACAAAATATAATCCGTATACAATTATATTATATATAATTATATATATATATTATATAAAATATTGGAATTAAAATTCAACTAAAACGAACAAATCAAACTATATTTTTAATTTGTAGTATTAATGATTAGATACGAAAAGTGTAACGCAAAACATTCCAAAAGCTTAAACTTTAAATTTTGTAAAAGATATAAGAAATACTTGTAGTATTGGAGTATGCTAGCATGTGCATTTTTCATTTTTGCCTCATTTTGTTTAATTCTTGTGTATAGCTTGTTATATTGTCTGTATGTGATTTGATTTTTGGGCAGTAATTAGAAAGCGAACACAAATCGCAGGAATGGTAATTAGACGATCTAACGATACATGATATAGAGTGATCAGAAGTCAACACCAGAAAAATTGCAGATTGAATGTGTGCAGTTTTATTTAAGTACAGTGCTTATACATATATAGGATAGATAAAGAGACTGTGTGAATAGCATCAATAATATCCTTTATGCATAGTAGAAACATGTCATTAATTGAATTTAAATATTGAGCGGAAATAAATACGACCTTCATACAACACAAGGATTATGAAAAAGAGAGCCAACACAATAACATGATAATATTTTTCATACCAGTTGGCTACAAATACTTTGACATTTACAGCATTTATTAAATCTACGATAATTTAATCGAAATAAATACATTGAATGAATCAATTACAATTTGCATTTCATATCTGGTGACCCCACTCAGGTCAGACTCACCGAGCTGCCAACAAAAGTAAACAACAAAGGAGACCAACAAATCGCAAAGTGTAGGTTGATCCCGAAGAAATAAATAAAAATAGAAATCAGCCAATGATAAATTCGATTAAATCTTAACAGTACTTGAAAATAAATGTCACTTTTTTGTTGTCCTGATTTTTTGGCTTGATTTTATTACTGTGACTGGTTTGTGTGTTTGTGTGGCCTTATAAATTATTCAGAAATTTAATCAGGACTCTAAAGAAATAATCATGTGTCAGGTGATGGGACATTGACATTAAGAATTTTCCACATTTTCTGTTCAATTTTTAAACCTAAAGACCTTATTACAATTGAATTCAACTGATTGATTATCGACACATAAATAAGAAATAAAAATGAAATGCTTTTTGATTGCTGTTTATTGTACGAAGATGAAAAATAAGTAATGGCCGCCAACGCCTTTTTATGCCGCAGAATACAAAAGTTCATAAATGTCTGCTTCTACTCTTGCACTGTATGTAGAAAAAAGTTCAAGGGTCAAAATACATACAAGTACGCGCACATACTCGTACATCTAATATGCTTGACTTTATTCTTCAGAATTTATTGTTTTTGTATGCACTCTATGTCATCTGCCTTTTCTCATTGTTTGTGCGTTTTCAGTTGCTTTGATTCGATTACCCCGAAGCTATTTGTTCATTTGTCATTTTAAAGGTCTGCGTTCTGTTGAATTATATCACAACTTTTAAATTAAACGCAGTGGCTTTAGTTTGCAATTACAGCCGCAGGCACGCAATAAATATACACGAATGCACACAATTGTACAACAAATGCCTATTTCATGTGTTTGAAGTTAGTTTCAATCTTAAAATAGTATAATTACACTAAGAAGCACAATTTTTAAAGCTATTGAGACGATGTGCTCTCGATATTTCAATATTATGATTCAATATGACGATTTACAAACCCTTTTTAATAAAATTATTCATTAATTAATAAAAATAGAAGCCATTATTTAAGAACTAAAATTTAAAAACCAAAAAATAATAAAAATTCACTTTTTAATTAAATTGTTGAGTATTTTGGTGACCTTCCTCATAGTTATTTTTATTGTTTGGCCGGCTCGAGGTCAGAGTAAGAAAAACCAATTTATTTAATTTTCTTTTCTTTTTCCGATATATTTCGGTTACGCCACGGTAACCGTCTTCAGGGCAATTATTTAAGCAAGTCTGCTCTGTTTGACTTGGAGTTACTAACTTTTTAATTAAATTAGATTCATTTTTAATGATAAGTCCAACGAAAATTGTATCTTTTAAAATCGTTAAGATAAGCTTTAAGTCGCAATATAGAACAATTTAAATCAAAATTATGTCAATCCCCAAAAACTATGTTGCTTTATGTAATCTAACTGCTGTATGTTATTTGCTGCTAAGGCAAACAAAACAGTTAAACAGCTCAATAAATACATTTTCAAATGACTAGCGGGCATTTCACAAATGTGTTAATATTTGCATGAACAAATACCACTAAATTGGAATATGCCTGAAATTAAATGAATCTGGCATTCCATATAAGTTTCTTAATGGGCTGCTTAGAATTTATTCAATTGTTGAATGCCTTTACAACAAATATAAGACAAACACTTTAAGGGCTTACCTTGAAACCTTTACGCACGTAATTCAAAATAAATGCAAAGTCACTTTCTCCTTTTGCTCGTGTGTTGGCAGCTGCCCCAAAATGTAGGCAACACTAAAAGAGACGACTGCTAACTATGCAAAAAGTTGCCGAGAACTTCAAGGTCACTGCCAGCAAGCGACCACAACTTAAAGCACATTTAATAGCTACGTTGCGGAGTCCGCTTCGCCCTTTCCGCCGTCGTCGTTATTATTACATTAAGAGGGCACATGAATATAAATCATTTCATAGCTTCGAAAACACGCATACGTGCATAAAAAATCAACGCACTAACGACTCTCATAAAATCCCATAACATTACCACTTGACTTCCTTTAGCCACAACACAGACAAAAAGCAGGCTTCAGGACGCCAACGGCACTTGAATAGTCACTCAAATGTTCGGCAGCAATTGACCTTGGTCAATAGTCCTAGAACAGGACGAGGAGCGGCCGCAGACAAATCAATTTCCCAACATGGTCATGCAAATTTGCTGACAGACTGCATTTTTATAAAAACACAATATACTTGTATATTTACAAGGGTAAAATATGGTTATTACAAGTCTACACATGGATGTGCCTTTGATTAGTTGCCTTGCTTGTAAAGTCCCCTTTTCTGTGACACTTGGTTTTTGTATTATTTTGTGTGAAACCAAGCCAGCACGCTCAATCGATTCGGTTTGTTGAACCCTTGGTCGTGGGCTAACAACCTTTTCCTATGTTCGGTAATTTGATAGATGCTTTATGTGGCCCTAGTCGTGGGATTAATTTCAAACCGGCGAACATCCCAACAAATTTAATCAATTTTGAATGATGATGCATGGTGCGTGTCATGAATGCATCAAGCAGGTCCACGCACTTGGCCGGACTATTGAAATAAATGGGGCGCAACCGAAAAATGCGAATGTTGACGCCTCCCGTCAAATAATTGGTCTGAACTGTCGAAAAGGCCGACAAATTAATGCGTGTTAGCAAATTTTATGACAAGCCAATTGTGATGGCAATACTCTCTTGCTGTCCACAACAGTAAAAGGTAAAAAACGTAACGCAATTATATAATTGAATTAAATGCGTTCCGTTGCCTGCTCAACTCCTCGAACATTTAGATGTTGGCCTTTGAACTTTTTACTTTTGTCGGCATAAATTTCACTTGAACTTTGTTGATTAGACTTTGCTCAAAAAAAAAAAAACGGCATTTTTTCAGGACATTCTTTTTTCGTTATTCATTCTGCTGCGCTTTTATTTTTGGTATCTAAATGAAAAGTTTTCTTATTCTAAAAAGAAAGGCAGTAATGACAAAATTTATTGTTCATTTATATTTAAAAAAAAAAATAATAGCTTTAAACATTTTTCAATTTTTGGAAACTTGTTATGCAAATTGTCGACGCCGGCTAGTTATCTTTAAAAATAAATTGACTTTTCTAAAACGCCATAATAATCGTAACTCTTGCTTTTTGCCGTTTTTAAAAACTTCTCATAAGATAATTCCTTAAAGTAAATGTGAAAATATTTAATCTTTGTCTCTCAGTAATGTTGCCAATAAAGCGCACAGACACCATAATTACCAAAGAAAAATACAAAGCCAGTGGCTAAGACTGACAAATATGATAATAATAAGACATCTTATACATCAGCCAAAGAAAACATAATTAAATGAAAATGAAAAATGCACAAAATACAAAACGATTGTCTGCTGTGTGACAAGGTCAAGCTACTCGTGCAGTGTCCTTTGCGAATTGGACACGCACCCGTCGGGACGGCTCAACTTACCGTTGTATTCTTGGCTGCTGTTTTTTAAGCACTTGTGTGGCATCGAATGTGTCGTCCTCAAGCGGTTCCCCATCGCTGTTGACCAATCGGCGGTAAACTTCATGCGGGGCATCACTTTCTGCGCCCCCACCTCCTGTGCCACCACCGCCACCATCACCATCATGTGACCTTCGACTGCCATTGTTGTCAGTTTTGTTCTTATGATGGTTTACAGGATTCACTTGAAAACGATTTGGTGGTCGATCGACCGAGCCCATTTCAAACGATGTTGCCTCCGACATTTTAGCTGTCTGTGTGAGTTTGTGGTTGTATTTGAGTTTGGGTTGGTATTGGTATTGGTGTTGGTGTTGGTGTAAGTGTATGTGTGTGTATGTGGTCCGAGTTGCGTGCTTTTAATGCAAGTGGCGTTGCCTTTTCTAAGTCGTCGTCCTCGTCTTCGTTGTCCGTGCCATTCAGCGCAACTAATTGTGTGTGCGTATCAGCGACGTTATTTCCTTTTTGCTATCCTGCGGGCAAAGGCAGAAGAAAAATGTGCGAGCATTATGTGAGGGGTCTTCTATTGCTGCTGTTGTTGTTGTTGTTGTTATTGTTGTTGCTTTTTGTTCGTGCAATTGTTGGCTATTGCCCTCCGACCAAAGAAAAATAAATAAACTGTAAAGAGAGCAAAGAATAAAATACAAATCAATATCGAAATGTAACTATAACGCCTACAAAGCGACTACAAATTGTGTAAATTTGTTTTCATTTACTAATTTACACACAATTTCTCATCATTTCTCTTCCACACTCACTCCCCAATTCTCTCTATTGTATGCTCTTAAAAATACATATTTTCTTTTCATTTATGCCAACTACAATATTTACTTGGGCTTTGGAAAAGTTTGTCACGCTTTCATCTCGCTTGCTTGCGGCTCTCCTTTTGGGTCCAAACATTGTCAGAAACTAACTTTTGTTTGCGTTAAACCACATGCCAATGTTCACACATCCTGTGTGTGCGGTTCAAGGTTGACACGCAATGTGTGCTTAGAAATGTATTTAAAATCTGTGACATGGGAATGTCTGGAAAGCCCGAGGCATGTGACAAAACAGCAATTTGGTAGTAAAAAAAATGAAGTGAATATTCTGAATTGTGAAAATATTGCAAATGGCTTAAGACATTCTTAATTTTAGTAGTAAAGTTGGCAGCTCATTTTTGTTATTGTTAATTGTTGGCATATTTTGAAATGGGCTGCTTATGATCCAGGGGTAAAAGGTGAGCAATAAAAAGGAAGCAAAGCGAACAATTGGGCACAATCTGTGCTTATTATAGAAATGCGAATCAATTGAATGAATGGAATGAAGGTTATTTATATAAGAAAACAATCGGTGGAACCTCCTCTCAACTCAAAATTACTCGGAATTGCAGCATCGCAGATGTTTAAAAATGTTTTTCCATGAGCATGAACAATCTATTTTGAAGTTTCTTCGAAACCACTTGTGTGTCAACAGTGCAATAGAATGTTTTAAATCGCATTTTCTAAATAAAGATGGAAACATGGTTTCTTTAGGACTCGTACAAGTCATCTTATTGAAGTTAGATATAGAGTGAGCTTTAATTCTAAATATGTATATATTTTATAGATGGACGATGCCGCATTATTTGTGAGTAAAGTGTCAATAAGACTTTAAAGTCTCATCCACCTTATCAAAAAAGGATCAATATGTAAAACAATTGACTTTAATTCACACTGCTCTTTCAAGTATCTTTATGTTGATATTGTACCTGTCACGTGTTATACCTAAGAATATATACAAAGGCAGTCACTATGACAAAGGAATAGGTACATAAATACACCGATAGAATTAGGCACTATTAAACAACACGTTTCATGCATTCAATCACATTCTTAAACTAATACACTTTAATTTAAACTGAATGCTAAACTTGCCTGCAGGCAAGCTAAACAATTATAATCCCTAGATCCCAAACTAATCGCCACTTGCAGTAAAAACTTTAGTTGCCTTAAGCACACCGGTAAGCGCCTAAGTAAATATAAGTAGATACTTATACGCTTAACGTTTCACAGATAGCTTTGCGACAGCATTTCGCATGGTAATTATGCATAAATTTGTGCATAAATCAGTTGAAATTACCCGAAACATCCGAGTGGCTATAAATAGCGCAGCTACAAATTGATGCAAATTAATCATGATTAGAGGTTTAAGTGTCGAGCGAGTGCAAAGGCGATAGCGATAGCTGTAGCTGTAGCGACTAAACGACCGGCACACCTGGCGTATGAGTAATGAAACACCAAGAAGGATATGCAAATGGCGCAAGCATAAACCCCAAGGAATTAAACTCTCATGTAATGAGCGACAAAGCCGTGGCAATTTGTCAAGGCCTACTTCCTACTTCTTGGGATTTGAGCACATGTGCAATTTATGGGTCAAGTTGAGAGCAAGCGAGCGAGCGGCAAGTGTAAAGGACAAGCCCAAACAAAGTAGAACACAAGCGAACCATTAGCATAATAACAAATGCCCGACAACATAATAAACAAACACACACACACATACAAACAGCAACAAAAGTGCAATGAATAAATAGAATAAAAGGCAGCTCAAAAATAGCAAAAAAGAACTCTCGGTAATTACGCCAATTATGCGATTTGTCGACCTCAACAATGTGGGAACTTTGCAGTGCGACATGAAAAACTGCAGCAAAAATTTATTAGAGCAATTAAGTAACTAATTCAATGAGTGCCGAACACAATGACATTGCACAGACACTCAGACTGGCAGACTGGCAGGCACAACCAAGTAGATCAGCGCTCAGCTGACAGCTACGGTCATCAGTTTTTTGGCAATTGTTGCAGCTTTTATCAATGCCGAGGTGCCAGACAGTGGAACACTAAAAAGCTGTTGACTTCATCATTTTGACTGCAGCGCGGCTGATAAGCACTGGACGGAGGCAAAGTTCAAAATTTCAACTGGCGTTAAGTTCAATTTGCGGGCTTAGAGATGTGCGCGTGACACGCGCCCCATTTGCTTTCAAGCTCGATTTATAGTCCATTTTTTGTAGATTCCTAATAGGCATTGGGTGTAAAAGTGTTTCTTTTTTTACATATTTTGTGCAATGTTTTCAAAATCCCCAACATGCGATTTATTTGCATCAAATTGGAAAAAAAAAAATGATACAATTTTTTGTTGCAAAAATTCATTTCAATAATAATGAAATAAGTGTCGATGTTTAATTTCTCAAGATATTTAGTTTAATTTAATTTTAATTTATTTATCAACTTTTATTTTTTCCCCATCATACAGCTTTTTAAATTCTCATAATACCAAATAAATTTTCGTGTCAACCTATGTAATTATACTTTCGCAGCTTAAAAATATGTATCTTTACATGAAAATCTATCGCTGTAAAACTATTCCAATCATGACATCTATTTCTAATAAAAACATTTTGGAAATCGTAAAAACTTCCTTTTAGCATTTTAATTTGTTTTCAATAAGCAGAGATTGAAGCCCATCTCTAGCGCCAACAAAGAAAGCCAAGAGACCGCTGGCCAAACAGAAGATAGCGCGGCAACTTCTGGCACATTGCCGAAAGCACTTAATAACGGGCAACTTATAAAACATAAAATGTCTGATTTATGATTGTTAAGCCACTGATTAATTGTGCCATAAACAAATTTATGTATGCACAGGTGTCGTTTCATCATTGATTCCATCTGTAAACGATGCTCACAAAGCGTTTAGCAAATCATTTGCTCGACGGATTGACCGACAGACTGCTTTCAATGAAAACGCTTGACAACTGCTAAAAAGGTAGGGCACAAAAAAGACAAATAAATAAATAAAGAAAAAGCGGTTGTAAAAAAAGAGAACTTATCTAAATAATTGTTGGCGTCATCCCCTCGCCTCTAGCTGCCAAATAAGCGCCCTCACTTTTAATGTCTTACAATGGGCCAATTGAGTGCTCCGCTTTATTGTCGCCTTTAATAGCTGGTTCCCTCTATCTTTGTATGTTCTTCTGCCTTTTTTCTCTCTTTTTTATTTGCTTTTGTTTGCACTGTCTATTTTACAATGCATTTAAGCATTTCTTTTACTTTGCTTTGCCCCCATTTCATTGCTCAATTCAACGCCCATTCGCATTTCAATTGCTACAATAAAATAAGATTTTTTACTACTCTGGTGGTCTGGCGAAGGCGTGGAAGAGATGCAGACACATACTATACTCATATAAACTTCGTTGAACGACTTTTCTACATTTCTGATGTGACTCTTTTAAATGGTTTAAGGAGTTCTCTTGTAGATTCCTTCCCTGGCTAGACGTTTCAAATTGCAGATGTGCTTAAAAAGCTACTTAAATTGTGTCTATTGTTTTAACCATTGTAGCTGAATTGTAAAATTTATATTTTTTCAAACGTTTCAAATTGCAGATGTGCTTAAAAAGCTACTTAAACTGTGTCTATTGTTTTAACCATTGCAGCTGTATTGTAAAATGTACATTTTTAAAAATTATTTAATGCACACTATGCAATAATGACAAGCCATTCTAATTAATTTAGTTGCAAACTCATCTGCAATACAGTGCTTTTTAAAGTTCGCTCATCCCACTACATTTATGAGGTTGACACTGATTTTTGGGGTAAAAGATCTACGATAATCGGTTAAGCGGCAGAATGCACAGAGGGATTGCTGTGCCCGCACACTAAATCTAGAGGCTTAAGTGTAGTGACATATTTGTCTCTAAAGCCGCCAGACTGCCCTAGACAAGGCTGTGCGATTCGTGTTCTGAAAGTTTAGCCTCGGATAAGTATGCCGTCATGTTGACGAGCTCTGGTAATCGAGAAAGTTTACGATTTAAAGTTTATGAATGAAAAAAGTCGCAAGAATTGAGTATTGAAAATATTTCCTTTCTTAAAATCGTTTACTGCATTAGCAACTGCCGTTTCACGAAAACATAAAAGTAAGTACTCGTACTATACTCGTATATAAAAGTCTTAGTGGGAGCTTACTTCATAAATACTCTCTTTTTTTATTTCTAAAGCGTTTGCTATACTTTGTTTATAGCTTCACTTACTAAAGGCTTACGAACAATTTCTCATCCCAATATGAGTCCCTTCGTTCGTCAATTCCAATCCTCGACTCAAACTGCTCGCTAACTCTTCTGAAACATTTGACTTCCTCTTTAACTCCAACCAGCTCCAACTTCAGTGAACCATTTATTACCATAAACAAAATGCAGCACCAGCCGGAATTATTTGCACATCAGCCATCAAAACTAAAATACTTTGACCTTGCAAAAGTTATAAATTTTCGTATACGAGCTGAATTACATGTTGCGTTGGAGTAACAAAAAATAAAAACATGCCAAAAAAAAAAATGAAATGGCAACAATAAAACATATATGAGCCACCAGTAGCGACATGAACATGGATCTGCGCTAATGATAAGCCATCAAGAGCAACAACAATAGCAACAACAACACATAAACAAGCTTCAAATTACATGTGCATGTATCCAGGATTTTTTTTTTATTTCTTTTTTGGGAACACGTCTATGTTTATCTATGCCTATATAAAGGCATACATACATAAACGCATATATTTTTGTCACTATGTAT